ATACATGTTAGGATGCATGTCCATAACAATTTGTTTCAAAATCTGGTCAAGGATGGCCGATTGACAGCAATCTGACTTTTTGGCCTTACTACTATATTTCCACAATTTATGTACCATTTTCATTCGTATTTTGCACATACATCATACATATCAGTGTGTTTCATAATCAGATCAAAGATGGCCAAATAACGGCTGTTTTTATTTTTGGCCATATTACTACTACATGTAACACATGTTTTGATGTAAATAAACAATCTGTTGTATACGCCACTTGTTTTTTGTAATTTGATTCAATATGACTGCCCAATGTCCAATTCTTGTGTAAAAGCACTAAATCATAATTTTTTACAAATTCATCTCCTATTAATGGTTTCAATCTAATCTCAATGACTTCATCAGCATCAAATTGATATGTCAGATCACAAAATTTGGGACGGGGACTGTGTCAACAATGACTTGTTTTTGGTAGGAGATACCCCCCCCCCCCCCCTGTGCATTGAGGGCATACTGTGGAAGACACACAAGTTTATGGAATACAGATATTGGTTGCTCAATTTTCAAACAAGAAATTTTATTTTGTTGGTTATAACTGATTTTTGATACACCTGCATGGTCATTGGAATGTCTGGATGACTGCGAGTGCAAAGTAATAAACTAAAAACATATAACATCCCTGGTAGCCAACATGCAAATTTATTCAAATTAAATCCAAGGTGCAGATTGCCTTGAAGAAGCACCTGCTGTCACTTTCACAGCAATTTCACCTAATGGATTGAAAAAAACAAATAATAGGTTACAAAAGTGAGATTAATAGTGTAAACACCGTAAACAATGCTGTCCTTGGAATCCCTGGGCTAAACATCTTCCCTTTTAATGATCTGGAAATATTCATGGTCGTTATTACAATTGGGTGAAGTGCATGCTACCGAAAGATCACAAAGGTGTAAAAGAAAGTACTGGAAAGTGTTACATTGCCATAAGTGCTTAAAGCCTTTCTTATTTCATGTTCTAATGCTTATTTTTGGATTCTATAAAAAGAATTCAAAACTCCCATTTACATATGAGAAATTGAGCTAAAATTGTGTTTTTTACCCTGAAATTACGATTGAGCTGATCCATTTCATGATTGCTGAGTTGGTCAGTAACAGGCTTTAACACACCACCTATTGATTTCATTTTTTCCCCATTCATTTCTTTCTTTGACTATGGTCGCCGGCTGGTGGCGCTCTTTTCCATAAGCATTTGGGGATACGATTGAGCCATGTCTCGCAATTTCTATTCGAAATTGATAGTTTGGAATATCCAGCCCTCGGTGACACATTGGATCGGAAACATTTTACTTTAAAATCTAAACAACTCCAGTTTTCGTGAGTTTTTTTCTGCCGCGCATGCGCGATTCGTTTGACCTGTAGACTGACCTTACTACCGTGCATCAGACGACGACTGGAGTTAATATTATTGAAAAGCTTACTGTTGTATAAAAGTTGCTGTTATCGTTGAATTTAACCCTTTTGTAGGGTGATTTGAACTCAAATGGCCGATAGAGGTCACGGTGGTCATCACCATCACGGACGTTGTGGAGACGAACACGATCACGACGACGATCCTGAACGGGGGATCCAGTACAGTCTGTATCTCAAGATCGACCTTATGAACGTCGAATGTCTGAATGAGGAACGTGACGGATCCGGAAAAGATGTCTTCAAGTCCTGGGAAAATAGACTGGACCGAGAAAAGGTAACTAATCTCCGCAGTCTTAATTTCATTTATTATTTTATTTGTTTAATTTAATTTATTTATTTAACTAGCACCTTCGCGATAAATGCAGTAACTGGTCATTTCATCGTTGTTGAGAATTAAAGTTTTATGTTTTTTTAACAACTGGTGCTATTCTGAGAATACCGTCCTTAAAAGTTGTTAATTTGCCCTTATAATTTGTGCAATTGCTCTAGCAGGAGTTCGAAAATAAAGCCCATGCTCTGATAATGCTCCTAGTTTTTAAGACCAATAAACATTTGACAATTTATAATGGGCTTTGCATCATGTATTTTGCATACTGCTTAGTGAGATACTGTAATTGAATGATCTTATTGGTGTTGCAAAGGATAGTTGAATATTGTTTATTGGAATTAATAATCCCCATACAAATTTTCCAATATAGATAAATTATAGTATGAAACAAATAACTCATTTACAACAGTGAAATACGAAATGTATATATATTTAAATTATTACTAATGCATTGCAATACAACTAATTAAAATTGAAAAAAATCGCAATATAAAATATTCAATCAGTAATGTTGTGTCTTTGACTTTGCTATGGTTTCTTGTACTTTTATTCATTGAGTTAGGGTTACATAATCACGTGTGATGACCATGACCTTATTAGCTAATCACATTTCGCCATGTATGTTGTTATGAGCTGATCATGTGTTACGCAATAAAAAGTGAAACTTCACCGCTAAGCTGATCATGTGTTACGCAATAAAAAGTGAAACTTCAGCGCTAACCTACAACCCGCTAACTTGTGTGTGTGTGTGTCTCCTTTTTTATTCTGATACATGAATTTTCACGGAATTAAGTTTACTTTGTAGCAACGAGCTACACAAAGTAATACTTCTCGAGGGTGTATTTCACAGTCAGTGTTATTTACGAAAATATTTGTTCACATATTCAATAAACTGTCTTGGCAATTCCCACCACAAATTAGATATAACGTGTACATATTTTAATACATAAAAGTATACATGTATGTACAAACAAAAATGAAATTTTCAAAATTTATTATATTACCTAGACAAAAGAAATCAAAATTTTTCCTTGCTAGAAAGATACATTTTCTGGATCTGTCAACTTGTCAATAATTATCGGATTATTTTTAAGCATAAGATTGTTATGTGAATTTCGTTCATTAATGGAATACTTCAGGGTCTAACTGATTCAGACTTCCATATAATAATAACAATAATAATAACAAATTTTAATGCATCCTTGAAATAAATTTTTCATCAGTTAAAAGCAATAACAAAGAAATACATAAACAAAAAATGTAAAATGCTCAAAAGAAAAGGAAAAAAAAAAATGATAAAAGTAAGAATTATCTTTTAATTGGATGTTCTGTTCTAATATCAAATATGGCATATACATATTCACCCACTTGTCTTATAATTTCAACATCATTGCAACTCATCAGGTATATACATTTCTGATTAATGTTGTGGGCTGTGTTTGGAATTATTA